AGTGCGCCTTTTAGTACGGTGCGCCTTATGGTCATGAAAATACGGTAATGAAAGTCAGAAATGTGATGGGGAGTCATACATTCACTTTGACATATTAGATAACACTGACCCTCTGAGTATTTGCTCATTTAAAGAGTGATTAAAGTCAACATGAACAACAAACAGCTGATCTCAGAAGGCAAACTGTCATTTCTATCTTACTGTAACAAAAGAAGCAGCAGCAGGATCCTGGTACTGCACCAGCAGCGTCTCCACAGGAAGCTGAATCTTCGGTCTGCTTTTTATCCTCTTGTTGAGGTGAACCAACAATTCCATCACCTGGTGGAAAACACAGTTCTTTTACTTTTTCTCATTGTGTGACATTAAATCCAAATACTTCAATATATTTAATGTAATGAAGAAAGTAGGTGCTTGTCTGATGAAAGAAAAGTGATGATCAAATTTACTGTAGGAAAATAACTCAAATATGAATTGCTATAAAAACTAACCAAAGAGGGAAAAAAAAAATGTTTTAAAGGTTGGGTGTCCCTCTAAAGAAAAACCTAGAGCAGCATGTGGACTTTTCCAACACAGATAATAGGAAGATACCGTGTGATTTATAATAGGAATATATTTACTGGTTGGTACTGACACAGTTGTTCTTCGCAGTTTTGCTGTTTTGCCACCTGCTGCTTTATACGGGTGAAGAGCTGACCATCTGAAACCTTTCAGAGACGGAGCTTACTACTAGTACTATTGTTTTTTATACTGTTTTATTTAAAAAATAAAAGGCTTAAATCTGCTGTATTCCTTCATGTTTCCATTCAAGGGGTTTAACCTCAGACATGCCTTACCACAAAGATAATCTTATTGCACAGGGTTTATACAGGAATGAGTAACTCTAATTTAAAGCTTTTTAATACTCTTTTATACTCTTTCATTTTAATGGCATCAACAAATACCAATGACTCATACATATATATATATATATATATATATATATATATATATATATATAAATAGATATTGAAATAACAAGACAAAATCCTTTGTCATCTTCACCGTTAACAGGTTGCAGCCATGTCCCGAATTCCTAGTTTTCCGGCCACTTTTGTTGAAATTAGCATTTTCCAATTCTCAAGATTTTTCCCCAACATCTAGCTTCTTTTCTGAACATACGACTTTACGGTCAACTGCAAGCAGTTCCGCACAAGCATGCAAAACCAGTTATATCTAAAATATAATAAATCTGACAAAATAGTTTTTATATACGCTTCTTTTTTAAATTAAAGCATTTTAAATGCCACGATAATCACATTTAAGAAATTTGAATGACACAGTCATGCAGGCGTAGTATGACTTATATATATATATATATCTTTTTTTATATATATATTGTATCGGTACTTGGTATCAGCTGATACTCAGCATAAGTATCAGAATCTTGTCAGGATTCAAAATGGTGTCTGAACATATCTTAGCCAAAACACACAGCCAGAGTGAGTGTCGATCATGGATGATAAAAGCATGTTAGTATGCTATAATATCTTTGCCAAACTGCAGAACTAAATACGATATCTTGCGAGATAACCCTTAAATCATCATAGAACCTGACTGACATTACACAAATGAAGACATACTCAAAGCTATGATTGCAGTGAACAATGGCTCCACACAGTATTGAGCCATACTTCTCAGATTAAGTGTTTAATAAATTCTGATGTTTGAATAAATGAATAATGGTATGAACCGGTATCAGCATAATAATACTCACCTTCTTCCGCACCCCTTCTTGAACACTGGAGAGTTTCAGGAGAACAGGTGGTAGAAACTTGGAGATGATGTCCTGAAGCTGATCATCAGTCTCTGCATGACCCAAGCGAAGGAACACACGCTCCAGTTGATCTAAGGAAACACATTTTTACATCACTGGCTCACTAAATCAAGACATTGGCAGCTCTTCTTCTTCTTGTGAGGTTTTATTGTGGTTGGCAAACTAGTTTAAAGTGCATTACAGCCACCGACTGATAAGGAGTTAAACAAGGAAACAAGACTCGCCCCCAGAAAAAATAAATAAATAAAATTAAAAAATATAGATTTTTCCAAACTATTTAACTTAACCCAACATAATAAATACTTAATCAAATTCGTCCTCATAACTTCTAATTTATCTTTAAGTTATCGTTACTCTGCCAGTTTCTGATGGTCCTATTGGTTTTCCCATCATGCTTTCAAATATTTCCCAGTTTAAATCTCTAACTTTAGGTTACGTTTATGCAGCTTTTACTATCATTTAGATTTTTTCTTTGTTTTCTGAGCCCTACAATTGATCACTTCTACCATGAAAAGAACAAAATCTTTCTTTTCACAATCAATGAATCTTCTCCAATTTTGGGACACTGCTCCAGAGGTTTTGAACTTAACTGTTGGTTTGGGTCTTTCTGTCTGGAATGGGATCCTTTTTGACATCGGCAGCTCTATCTGCACAGTGGATTGTAATTTTTTGGATTAAACTTTAACCCTTTGAATGCATGCAACTATAGAAACCCTCTGGGCTAAAACACACCACGTCAAATTAATGGACATGTTGTCCGAATTTGTCCGATGAGCTCAACCTGTCAGCTGCTGCAATCATAGCCATGCCCTCTTTCTCCTAACTTAGCTCCCTAAACCGCTAGCAACAAATGACAAGACAGTCAACGCAGTTTATCAATTCCTTTTTTTTGGTTAGCCTACACAAGCTATTTATTTTTTCCGTCCAGTGACATCCCTCTGTGACTTTTCCAAGATGTTATAAATGATCAGGGAACCGATCTGATCGCTGTAAGACTTTTGTGAAAAGACATTAGTGAAGAGCAGAGAAGTTTCATTTTGACCATGACTGGGCAAACGGCCTCCTGACGTTAGCATCTCAGCTAGGAACATAATTGAGCAGCTAGCTAGCTTATTTCCAGTCCAGTTTAAAACTGAATTTGGCGTTATAATTACTTATAAAACGGACTTATTGGCTAAGCGGTGAGTAACTGGTCAGCACGTGTGGTTTTGGCAAACACAAATTATACATTGAATAATATATGAATCGCCAATAAGACAGAAAGAAACTTACTGAGTTCATCCTGCGCAGCCATGTTTGCTCTAAGTCGTCACCGACCCTCCCAGTTGACAGTGTGTGGCTTCTCTGGAAAGCCAAAAGTGCCAAAAACCAATAAAGTATAATCATTTTTTTTGTATAAAAAATACATATATTATTATTTACTTCCATCTGGAATGATTAAAAAAACTGTTTATAAATGCATTGATTATTTTATGGCAATAAATATTTTGTTACATTTTTAAATACGAATATAGAAATTTTGCGAGTAAAGTTTGGATCACACCACAGAAAATATTTTACTATTGCTGTCTCTCTTTTTTATTACCTGTTCTGACACCATGACATGATTCAAACTGTCATGTCATCTATCTATCTATCTATCTATCTATCTATCTATCTATCTATCTATCTATCTATCTATCTATCTATCTATCTATCTATCTATCTAT